ACTGATTTCTTTTATATTTAAAAAAAATTATTTTTTTGCCCCTCCCCATTGTTTGGGGTTTGGAAGGACCTGGCTGGGGCAACACTTAAGACTCAAGCCCATCCTGGCATACCTGTTAGTGAGCCAGAGTTGGCCTGGGCAGCTGAGCTTCCTTAGGAGAGCAGCCTGTGGGCTGGGGGTGGACCCAGTCCTCTGAGGAGACCTTTCCCTGCTCAGCTGGCCGTCCCCTTCTTCCAGACCAGGGAAGGTCTTGCCCTGGGCCCCATAGATCTCACCAAGCTCCCTGGTGCCCTCCACAGCCCCTTGGGAGAGGTGCTTGCTTTTCCCTCCCAAGGTAGGGTATATGTCTTGTAGCATTTATTTACTTATTTATTTTTAACGGAAGTATAGGCAGTTACAGTGTGTCAATTTCTGGTGTATAGCCTAATGTCCCAGTCATGTATGTATGTATAAAATATATATATATATATATATATATATTTTCATGTTCTTTTTCATTAAAGGTTATTACAAAATATTGAATATAGTTCCGTATGCTATACAGAAGAAATTTGTTTTTTAATCTATTTTTCAAATTTATTTATTTAAAAAGTTTTTTTTGGTGAGGCGGTAATTAGATTTGCTTATTTGTTTTAGTTTTGGAGGAGGTGCTGCGGATTGAACCCAGGACCCTGTGTATGCTAAGCATGTGCTCTACCTCAGTTTTTAATCTATTTTTGTATATGGTGGTTAACATTTGCAAATCTCAGACTCCCAGATTTATCCCTTTGCACAACCTCTCCCCGGTAACCATAAGATTGTTTACTACATCTGCAAGTCTGTTTCTGTTTTGTAGATGAGCTCATTAGTGCCCTCTTTTTTCTTTCTTTATTGCTCTTCCTTCTTTTTTTTAGATTCCACATAGGAGTGATATTATGTGGTATTTTTCTTTCTCTTTCTGGCTTACTTCACTGAGAATGATGATCCCCAGATAGATCCATGTTGCTGCACCTGGCGTTATTTTATTCGTTTTTATCACTGAGTAATATTTCATTGTATAAGTATACCACAACTTCTTTATCTAGTCATCTGTCAATGGACATTTAGGGTGCCTCCATGTCTTGGCTATTGTATGTAGTGCGACTTTTTTTGTGTGTCGATACCTGCTTTGGTTTCTGAAATTTATTTAGTTTCAGACTTTATTTGTAAAGTTAAAGACTTTGATTAGTGTTTAAGTGATTAGGGACTTCAGTTTAGTGAAATTGACATATCAGAAAGACCATCTTAGTGTTTGGTTTGTCTGCTGTAGTTTCCATGTTGTCACTTAAAGTTCTCAGATCTGCCTAGTTACTGATAATGCAAGCTACCTTGGAGATCGTTCGTTGAGTTTCAGACCATCCATGTAAAGCAAATGTCGTAATAAAGTGAGTCACGTGAAGTTTTGGTTTCCCAGGGCATATAGAAATTTTGTTTATACTGTACTGTAGTCTATTCAGTGTGTGGTGGCATTATGGCTAAAAAAAACCCCATGTTCCTCCTTGATTAAAAAACACTTTATTACTAAAAAATGCTACCATCATTTGAGCATTTAGTGAGTCATAATTTTTTTTGCAATAGCAACAACCAAAGATTGCTGATCACAAATCACTATAACGGATGTAATAATAATGAAAAAGCTTGAAATACTGTGGCAGTTACCAGAATGTATCACAAAGACACAAAGTGAGCAAATGCTGTTGGGAAAAAATGGTGCTGATAGATTTCTTCCTTGCAGGGTTGCCACAGATTCTGTGAAGCACAATAAAGCAAAGCGCAGTAGAACAAGGTCGGCCTGTAGTCCATTCTGGGTACTTCCTTCCTATTAAAGCTCCTTCCTTCAGGCTTCAGTTGCCCAGGGATAAAGTCTGCTGTGGTGTCAGAGTGAGGTGATTCTGTCCCAGGGCAGCGAGATCTTGTATGTGAATTTAGATGAGTCACTCCTGACCCCGCACAGCGGAGGACTTTTCCCCAGAGGCCTGTGGAAAACATTCCTCCTCCATCCCAGCTTTCATGAGTTCTGAGCCTACCAGTAAGTTTCAAGAGGGTCTGCTTTTATTGCAGGTGTAATGAACAACTTTGCAACAGGTTCAGGGAATGTTTTGACAGGCAAGGTCTTTTGTCAGCCTCTGGGAATCGGCACAGACCTATTCTGTAAATCCTGCGTCCTGGGGAAGATGGAGGTGATGCTGATGACAGTGGCCGATGCTGCCTTGTGTCTGTCTAAGGAAAGCACATCTACCTCCGCTCCTGTCAGGCTGATCCTCCCACTTTGGTCTTGGCTTCAGTCTTGTCCGGAGAATCCTAGTCCCACTTGCCCTCTTGCCTGTGTCTCGACTGCTTCTGTTTGGTATTTTTAACCTTCTGCTCTTTGAGGGCAGCTTTACTCTGTTTCAACATTTCTGTCACTAAAGGAAGCAGCCCTCCCTTGACCTTCATGCCTGCTTCCACTGCTGCCCTGTCTCTCCCCTCCTCCCAGGGTTGGAGCTGCATTTTCCACTTCTTCACATCTCTTCTGTCTTTAGCCCCCTCCATTCTGCCTTTTCCCCTCAAAATGCCATTGAAACAAAACCGCTTTCCAGCCAAATTTTCCAGCTGTAAGCTGCCATGATAAGTAGAAATGATCCTAAGAGGGGCCACAGAGATGAGGGGTATGCCGGGCAAGAAAGTGCTCAGACCAGGTCTGCAGTGTTAGGGAGAGGGGAACTAACCATGCCAGTTTCCCCAGGACTGCCTTGGTTTTATCACCAATAGTTCTGTGTCCCAGGAATCCCCCTGGGCAAACCCGGGAGCCCATTTGGGACACATTACTATGCCCCAGCAGCTGTCCTTCTGGATCCACTTCTGTGTCTGTACTATGACCATGTTGCCCACAACTGCTCCTAGCCACTGATTAGCACAGTAGGGGCACAGTACAAGCCCATTTCTGGAAGACATGGGATTTCTTTATTGCGCGACTTAGGCTCTAGGACTCCCCTTTGACCTGGCCAGAAACAGAATTATTCTGCAGTTTCAGACGTTCTCCTCAATCCTCTTTGTTCCCCTGTTCCTTCTGTGTTTGCATTTTACTTGATTTTTCTTCATCTGCATACTGTTCTTCAGTATTACATCTGGTGAAATCTACACCAACCAGTTTGTACCTTCCTTAAGTACTGCCAGAAACTGTCTGCTCTTTCTCCTATTACAAAATTATAGCTTAAAAAAATCTCTTCACTCCTGCTATCAAAAAAAAAAAATACACAGATATCCAAACATTTTGCCGCCAGTATAACTTAAGCCACAACTCTCATGTGGTGTGACTATTTCAGTTGATGACAGGGGTAAACTGAGGGATTAGATTTAGGGAATTTTAGGGGGGAGCTCTCTGGGGAATGAGGCCTTCAGCATCCTGAAGCTCCACGCCACTCTGTGCCCAGTCGCATGCAAACATGTCTTTCTCAGGGGTGAGTCTAAATTCTGCAAATGTCCTGAACCATCCAATCAACTAGCACCAACATTTGAAAGGAATTCAGTGTGGCCCAGAAGCAGTGGCAGAGATTTGAGATGCCTGGGGCTTGCACGTGCGGGCAGGGCAGTGGCTCGGGGTTCCGAGACGCACGGGCACTGTGATGAGCAGCGTTGCTAGGCCATGATTACTGTGTACTGATACAGTCCAGCGGACACAGCTTCCCAGCCAGACCCCAGTGGTGGCGGAAAGCCTAGTGGTAGAAATGTGTTGAGCCCATAGGCCCGAAAATGAGTAGGTTTTTTTGTTTTTGCTGTCAGAACTGTGAGCCACCTGTGGGCTCTTCTTCCATTAGCCCTCAAAGAGACCGCAGGAACTCCCAGCCTGGATATCGCATCTGAACAAAGGATATGAAAAAGATCCACGTAGCCGCCAGCTTAGGAAACATCTGAAAGACCCAGCACGTTCTCTTGCTAAGAAAAAAACGGCCTGGGCGAACCAGATAAAAAGAACAGGCTACAGGCGTGAGGGACAGGGTGGGGCGGGCCTGAGAGGAGCCGGGGGCCCAGCCACCTGGCAGCTTCCCTCTGGGGCTGCTGGAAACCAGCGTGGGGT